ATATGCGGTCTCAATTTTGCTTCTGTGAAAACAACTCAACTCAGCACCTGAGGCTTCCGCGATAATAAATTCGCTTTTGCGGTCGCGCTTCTGCGCTCAGTTACCGCACCTGCGGACGCGCAGATGCACCCATGGCCCCACATCTGTGGCCCTCTCGACTTTCAGTCCACATTCGCTTCTGCAACCTCAAGTCCGCATCTTCGATCAATCCTCCGTAGATGCGAAAACACCAGAACCAGGGAGTTCTTCAGCAATGCAACATGAGATAAAAAGGTCTGAAACCATCCCAAAACTCACCCGAGCACCTTGGGACACTATCCAAACATACCAACAAATTCCAAAATAGAACACGGACCCACTCGAGCCCCTAAATCACACATAATAAAATCAAAACCGCGAATCATCGATCATGATTTCATAAACTTCAAACATCGAACCTAGTGTCCGATTTAAGTGCAACGACCCGACCGGTCATTTTGAGATCTAGAACGTTGTACGACATTTTAATGCCTTGAGTAGCTTCACTTCATATTTTATGACTTGTACGTGTAGTCGGAATAGAATTTCGGGAAGTTCAGAGTTGATTCGGAAGGAAAATTCCCAATTCGGAAGCTTTAAGTCGGAAGAGTTGACCAAGGTTTGACGTTTGAGTAAGCGATCTTGGAATCGGGATTTGAATGTTCCAATAGGTTTGTATGATGATTTCGGACTTGGGCATATGTTCGGATTGAGTATCGGATGGTCCGGGAGCATTTCAGCAATTATTGTGGAAAGTTGGCATTTTGAAAGTTTTAAAATTTCCTAAGTTTGAGTTGAAGTGGAATTTGGTGTCACCAATATCTGTTTGGGATTTCAATCCTTAAAATAGGTTCTTATTACAATTTATGACTTGTACGTAAAATTTAGCGTCATTCCAGAATGTTTAGATATGATTCGGACGCGTTCGTCGAAGTTTGAATGTTTGAAAGTTAAAAAAAGGATTTTGATCGTCGATTCATGACTTTGATGTTATTTGTGGCATTTCGAGCCTTTGTATAAGTTTGGATAAGGTATTGGGACTTGTTTGTGTGATTAGACGAGGTCCTGGCGGCCTCGGGTGTGTTTCGGGGTAGTTTCGGCATTTTTCTTTGTTTTGCTGAGGTTGGTGCTGGTGTCTGGTGTTGTTCTTCGCGAATGCGAAGGTAAGAACGTGTTCGCAAAGAAGGATTTTTTGGCTGCTGAAAAATGTGCATCCCGAACGCGATAGAGGGATCAGGAATGAGGAGCTGAGGATGAGGTGCCCTTTGCGAACGCGATAGGGTCTCGCGAACGCGAAGAAGGATGGGGATCTGAGCCTGGAGGCGTTAAGCCTACGCGAACATGGTTCAATGAAAGCGAAGTCGTGGGGACCTGGAGAGGCATCGCGAACGCGATCGTGCGGTTGATAACTAGGGATTTTGATATATTTTATACTCCTTCATGCTCAAGTTTTGATTAGAAATGTATACAAAGTAGTCCCAAAGGCTCACAAGTTGTGCTTGATTGCAGGTTTGATCAACAAAGTGACAAGATGTCAAAGTTCAGCTCAAAAAGGAGTGAAACTTGCACAAGTACCAAAACAAAACAAAGCTCAGGCAAAACAGGCCCAATGCGGCCGCACACCATTCTGTGTGGTCCGCACAAGTGAGATTCATAGAAGGTGATTTCCAGGAAACAGGAAATGCGGCCGCATGAGATTTAATGCGGTCCGCATTGGAGTCACTGCGGTCCGCAGTCGATTTAGTGTGGTCCGCGGAACCAAAGATCAGAGAGGTGCCAGTTTTGGAGATTGAAGCCAATGCGGTCCGCGCTCCATTTCATGCGGACCGCAGTAGAAGCCACCGCGGCCGCACTCGATTCTGTGCGGTCCGCATTGCCTGAGTTCAGAGAGCTGGAATTTTATGTTCAGAGCCCTAGTGTGGCCGCACACCATTTTGTGCGGTCCGCACTAACCCCGCAGGGGTATTTTTGTCCAGACATTTCAGCTTAGTATAAATAGCTTCTTTTCCATTTTTAGGCCAAGCAGATAGTTAGAACGGAATGAGTAATTTTAGCTCCATTTCAACATTGAATCTTCAAGTTTAATTTAGCAATTAATTAACATGAGTTTTTCTTTATCTATTTCTTTGTTTCTTTCTCTAATTATGAGTAGCTAGACCCATCAGCTAGGGTTGTGGCTCAACCCTAGTGTGGATATGGGTCTTGTATTTTAGAGCTTGATTGACTATGGGTGTTTGATATTTGGGCTAATTCCATGTTTAATTGCTAAATTAGTGGTTGCAAACACTAGTTTGTGTTTAGTTGACTTTTGCTTTTCTTGAGAAAGAGAGCCTAAGTCTCTAGAATTAGTCCAACAAGGAATTGGGGCGTACTCAAGAGAATTGATAGCCCCAATTAAAGGGTTAAACCGAGAGATGGTAATACCCGACTTGATCCACAATTGCTTGTGCAAATTCGCATACCCAATTGGACTTGAGAAAGTCAATTCGGGCAAAAATCACTCAAACTACCGAGAGGTATAGAGTGAGTAGAATCGAGCAATGGTTATGTCATACTCCCCAAATGTGTCAATCTAGCTTTAGATTCAAGAATCTGTCAATTGACCACCTAGGCGAAAGTCACTACCCTAGTGCACTTTTTATCATTTGAACAACTCGCAATAGTTTAATCCTAGCTTATAGTAGTTTAATTGAGCATTGTAGTTTATAGAATTAGAATCATAATTAAAACCCAAAAATGTGTAGAAGTGCAATTTGGAGCAAATACACAACTACACTTTAGATAGACACCCAACTCCAATATCTAGCTCTCTGTGAAATTCGATCCCCGCCCTAAATCGGGTAAAAGCTGCTTCGACCTCTCTCGCTACTTAATAGTAGTGCAGGGTTGGCCGCGATCAGTGGTCACGAATGCGAAGAACGAATTTGGGCCAGCTGATTTTTGGCCTTCGCGATCGTGACGGAGCTTCCGCGATCGCGAAGTGGAAGGACCTGGGCAGACTCAATTTTTATGCAGGGTTTGGCTCATTTTTCTCTCATTTTCACTTGGTTGGGCGATTTTTGGAGCTCTTGAACAGAAGATTTTCATCATCTATCATGAGGTAAGTTATTCCCACTTGTTGTAAGTTAAATACATGAGTTATATATGGATTTTTTAAATATGAAAATTTGTAGAAATTGTGGGATTTTGAAGAAAACCTGGAATTTGATATTTTTGGACTTTGACCACGAAATTGGACATGGAATTGGGAAGAAATTATATATTTGAGTTCTTGGTGTTATGGGTAATGTTTATCTTCTAAAATTTCGGAATCTGGGGCCCATTGTTGACTTTTCAAGCAGAGTTGGGAATTATTATAAATTGACTAATTATGAGTGTTGGAATATATTTTTATTGATTTTCATGATTGTTTGACTAGTTTAGGATCGGTGGGCATGGGTTTGAGGTATTAGAGAGGCGTTGGGGCCGGTTATGGAACTTCGGAGCGGGTAAGTCTCCTGTCTAACTTTGTGAGGGGGAAATTACCCCATAGGATTAAAATTGTTATGTGCTACTAGTTGTGGGTGCTACGTACACACGAGGTGACAAGATTTCGTACGTAGCTAAAAGCATGTTTAGGTTCGGATAAACTTAAGACTTTATCATGTAATAATTGAATTATCTAAACTCATTTTGCCAGCTTAATTAAGTGAATCTCTAATCTATAATCCCCTTTTGGAATCATAAAAAGATCTAGCAGGCCTTAAGCAAAAAGAAGTCAACAAAAGGATGAGACTTTTATTAATTTTGTATCATTAAACAGGGAGCGGTTCTATTGTTTCCAAACACATCCACAAAATAAAAACATCAAAACCAAAGGTACCAGTCATAAACATCATCAGAACTAAAACAAAAGACGGACACGAAGGACTTGACACTTGGGAAGGAAACAGTGTTTAGGGAGTACTAGAAGGGGAAGGCCCAATGAAGAAGCAAGAGTGCGAAGAAAGATTTCCATCCGAGCATTAGCTAACACTTGCTCGTTGAGCAGTCTCTCCTTCAGGTCCTTAACCTGTTTCCTGAGGTCGGCATTTTTCTTGGTCAGACAGGCAACCTCTGTGCTTTGAGAGCTTCTAGAACCAGGTGCCTCCTGAAGCTGACTTAGCTGACCCTCAAGAATGGCATTCCTTGCCTTCAGCTTCCTTATCTCAGCAATGGCACTGTTTTGAGCGTTGATCAACTGGGAGATAGTAGAAGTGTTGCCAACCCCTCCAACCTTTTCAATGCATTCACATTTCTCGAGGATAGTCTTGGAGAATGTTTTCTTACAGGTAATCACTTTAGCTTGTCCCAAAGGCACTATAAGAAAAATGGCCTATGGCAACACCGATAAAACCGTTGCCAAAAATAGAAAAATCGTTGCAATATTCTTATTGCGACGGATTTTGCTCCGTTGCAAGATATGGCGTTGTAATTGGTTTGTTGCAACGGTTTTTTGCGACGGTTTCGGAGCCGTGGTCATAGCTGTATCTATCGCAACGGTTTTACAGTAGCCTAATACAACAATTATTAAAAGCTATCGCAACGAGTATGAACCGTTGCAATACGACTATTGTAAAGGTGCAAAACCGATGGAATAGACCTACTGGAACAGTTTGTTGATATAGTTTAGCTTATTTATTGCAATAATTATTATTATCTATTGCAATGATCATTACAAGCTAGTGTAACAGTTATTTCAGCTATTGCAATAATTTTTCGAGCTATTACAACATTTATTACAAACTATCGCAATAATTTTTACGAGCTATTGTAATGGAGTAAATTATAATACGCTGGAATTTATACAAACCATTAAAGGAAACTATATTCATCCACAAAATCATCATCAAAAATATCCAACTAGTATTATCCAAATATAAGAGAACACTGACTAACAATTCAAGAGTTAGATTGCATATAAGTTTGCAAAATATTCAAAAATAAGTATAGTCCCAAAACATCTGAAGGTGTAGATCAACCAATACTCTTTAAGTAAGGTCTTCACTGATTTCATCTCCCATTTGTTCATTTTCTTCACCTACAAATTCAAGACATAACAATATTTAGAGGGTAAGGAAAAAAATAAGCATATTCAACCAGTACTTCAACAAGTAAGAAAATTGAGGTTATCTTCAACCAACACTTCATCTATTTAATACTGTAACTACTTTTAGATGACTAGTTTTTGAAGTACAAAATTTATAAGATCACATCAATAATAATAGTAAATATGTGTGTGTAAGCGCCAAGACCATTGTAAGCGCCAACAGTCCCATCATATTGATGCCAGGGATGTTTTGAATGCAAAGAAACAACAAAATATGGAGCTTGCTAAATCTACGGGAGCTTGGTTGATGTTGGAACAGGCAGGGCTTCACATGTATTGGAGGCAGGTTCAACAAAGGAGAAGGACAATCCTAATCCTAGTTTAACTGGATTTTTGGTGCTGAACAGATTGTTCCAGCTGGTGCCGTTGGTCATGGTGCAGTTTAGAATCGAGCTACTACAGGTAGTAATCAACAAGGAACTGATGAATCAAGGAGTTAGGAGTGGTATTGATGCTCTAGAAACTGTGTAGGTAAAGCTGGATCAACAGAAAACTGTTTGGAAATCTAAACTTCCTGCTGATATCTCTGCCGCTACTGCTTTAGCGAGGATTTACCAGGTTGTGGGTTCTGCTTTACAAAATAAAACTATTGTGGATAGGATTGGTGCCCAAGGTGAGGGTGCTACTATGTGACTGATGGAGAGGTGAATGTGCATAAGGCCTATACTACAACTGTTGAACAAAAGGAGCAGGACTTGGCTACTGTGGGATCAAATTATCAGGTTGCTGCTTTGTTAAAAAGACTCTTCTGCCTCTGATGCTTGCTGCAGTGCAGTACAGGAGAAAGGTGATTCACAGTCTCCATCTCTTCTCCATACAAGAAGCACCTATTACTTAATGCAAAACCCTCTTTTGAAGGTTGCTATGGGTAAGACAGGCTTCCCTAGCTGCAATCCAACCCAAGCATGCTGCTTTTATAGGAGCTTTAGCTTTCCAAATCACTTTCCATGGCCAACTAGTATTCGAGTGACCTGCTTGTTTCATAAGTAGGCTGTAACAATTTCTAACAGTAAACTTCCTATCAGTACTCTTTTTCCATACTAATGAATCCTATTTATTTTGATCAATGTAGGTAGATTCCAATTGAAGGAGCAACTGGCAGAAATCTACTATTTCCCGATCATTCAAACTCATTCAAAAACTCACCTGCCAACCTTGCAATTTGAATAAAAAATTTCTAGTCCACAACCCCCATACCTTTGTTTAATTCTAAACACTAAACAGTATCCGGAAATTTTGATTTTCAATCACTCATCACCAGCACATAAACAGAAACTAATCACTCATCACCAACACATAAACAGAAACTCAATCACTCATCACCAGCACATAAACAGATCTGGAGCAGGTTGTGCATAAGGAATATACACAAACAGCTGTTGAAAAAACAGCAGCTCCTATAGCTATTGTTGTGCAATAGGTAGGTGGAAGAAAGAGCTGGACATGTGCTTTTCCAAGCAAATCTGGACAGTTGTGAGGTAGAATACATCACCAGGCGCAAAGAAAAAATAGCAAAATTCGACTATTTCAGCAGGTCGACAAAAAGCTCAAATGACAGTAGTTAATAATACACTGTTAGAGCACCCATCACTTTAAATTCAGGATTAATTAAAAAAATGCAAATTTCTAACTGTACAATCTAAAAATTAGAAGCATCAATTACAGGATTGCGAGGATTCTAACCTTGATTGTTGCTACCAAGAGATGGTCGATGAATTAGGTGAATAGCTGCTGCTTGTGTTAAGGAAGCTTGACCCAATGGACGAGAATACAATGTTGCTAAAGTATTAGCATCAATTGGTAATCCAGAACGTTGAAGTTTTGCTATGATATCTTCTACAATTTCTTGTCTCATCATTGTCTTTTGTTCCTCATATTGTTCCTTCTGTTCCACAATTTTTTCCTCCAATCTTATCATCCTCTCTTCCATCTTTTGCATGTGATCATTTGTTGCATTTGAAGAGGGTTCAAAATGTCCCACTTTCCCTTTCAAAAAGGTTTTTGTAACCCCCCGCCCATACAATCTCAAACGTTCCGGATGTTCGGGTCCCATGATTGATGCAAATTCATTAATTGACTCATCACCATTTTCACTTTGTTGCGTTTCAATACTCTCCATTTCAGCCTATTATACAAATAAAAAAAGAGAAAATTCTCTACTGTTGCCCAAATATTTTTTCCTTCAAAAAGGAGAAGATGCCTTGCTTCAACATCACTATTTCATCCCCTATTCTTATAATTTTAGCCATTGTTGCGATAGAATGATGTCACCAACAACAAAGAGCTTTATATCATGAGTAGTTTTAAAGACTTTTGGGATTCCCCTTATTTATTATGAATTAGGAGAGTCATTCAAATGATTCAAAGAGAATTAAGAGCCTGCAGTTACGTCTATATATAGTCGTTTGCTTTTTGCTATCATAAAGATACACTAATGTATAATTTCTACCATAAAGACACAGTAAGGTGCAACTTATAATAGGAAGATTTTATAAAAATTACCAAACAACTTACAAAAATAAAAACAATTGTCCCTCATTTCTATATACAAACAACAATAATTCATACACCTTTTACAATCAACTTAATACAAGTACCATATAAAAACTACAACATTTCCACATATTTTTTTACCAACAAAGTAAGACAATTTATGGAGTACGAATTACAACCTATACACATATACCTTTCACCAATAAATGGACATAGCCAAACTAGTAAGTCACAAAATATATCAAGAAAAACATATGAGAATTTTCAAGAATAAGAAATAAGATCCATGTAGATACCGTCAAGTTACCTGAATTGATAGCGGCTCCTCTAAGTTCACAAAAAAAAAGCCAATTCAGATGATAAGAAACTAGTTGTAGAGTCTTTCAAACTAGCTTGAAGAGATGATGAAGCTTGAAGGCTATTCACATAGTATCATCTACACACTATGATATTGGATATTACGACAACACCATTTTCAGCGAGCTGCAAAAATTGAGAATACATAAATCAGTTGCTTTTT